CCCCAAAACCCCAAAACCCCAAAACCCCAAAACCCCTAGCTAATTTTGTACCATTGAGTGTAAAATAAGTAATTACTCTAGCCAGCTCTACAACTTTTTAGCTGTGAATTTTGACATTGAGTAGATCTTGATCTCAAACTTGCCTTCACCTTCTGGGCCATTCTTGGTGTTAGCAGCAAGTAAAGTGATCGTCAGAGGGAAACTAAGTCTATTTGTAAGGGCAATCTCGTTGGAAATGATATTCAAGTTGGTTGGCTTTCCTGACATTCCGAGAATAGCTTTTCTATCCATTCTTGAAATCTTCCCTCCTCCAGTATTTTGAGCAAAGAACATAATGAATTGTTTTCCTTTAAACATGTTGATCTTATCGAATTGTGTCATCTGAATGAACACAGGTGCTGGAGAACTGAGTTTGATTTCATATTGAGGATTCAACTGCAATTTAGCATTTCTATTGTTGGCACTTGGAAGACCCTCAGCAGACTTTCCTTTCCATTCATCTTCAAACTCTTGATGATTCCAGTTCTTCATAATTCTACAGATATACAGATAACTATAGTTATCAAGGAAGTCATCTAAATCCATCCAGAAAATACCATCTGCTTCATCTGAGAATTTACATTTATTTTTAGCTTTCTGTGTCCACATATCAGAGTCATCTGACCAGTCTCCGTTCCATTCAATTCCTTTATTTCCATGAGGATTTCTCAGATTTACCAATTTGTACTCATCAAATTCTTTGATTCCAAGAACAGCATAGGCATGACCTTGAACGATTCCAAACTCACTAATAGCGCTGTCACCAAGTGCATGTTCTGGGCTACCAGCTCCCATAAGAGCTCCTTGCTCGACGAAGGACTTAAGCCTGTTCCAAAATTGGTTCTTGTTAGAAGCAACAGATCTCAACTCTATTTGCTCAGAGACACCTCCAGTCATATCAGACAAAGCATATTGAACTTTACCTGCTTCAATGTAGTTGTAACTTCCGTTGAGCTTGGCATAGGCTTTTTCAAGAATCATTGGCCAGAGTTCTTTACCGTCTGGACCTCCTCTAGCAAAGGCAAACTCTCCATTTCCAAAGACTGGGAAGAAGTCATCAATAATAACATCTTCTACATTTCCGTATTTGTAGAATCTGACCCAGTAGACACCTGCCTTGCTTTCATCTTCATTGTCGATGAACTTAATGGTCTCTTTAACATTTGACTCTCCGAGCACTGACATTGCTGAGAGGAAATAGCAGTCACCGAGAGCACCTTGCACAACATCTCTTGGGTCAATTTTGTCTCTGTAAATAACAGTTCCTTCAACTTCGCTAGCTCTGACCCACTTTGCCACTCCTCTGTTCAGACATCCCTCACCAAGGGATTGGTCATTCGGTGGGAATTGTTTGTCTTCATACAAAGTCTTCTCCTTCTTATATCTCTCAAGGATCTTCTCATATTTAGTATCGCAGTCAGGCATGTCGTCAATTGGCATATTAGGGTCCAAATCCTCAAGAAGTTTTCTCCTTTCTTCAGTAAGCTTAGCAAGTCTTTCTTGTCTTTCCTTCTGTTTCTCTTCTTCAATTCTTTCCTTCTCCAGGATATCAGCTTCTTTTTCTCTTTCTTCTTCTTGGAAGTCTTCTCTGAGCTTTTTGAAAAGCACCTGTTTTTCTGCAGAAAGTCTACTGATCTGGGTGAGTACCTTTGCATGTTTATATTTAGGCCTGCCCTTTGCGGGAATCACAATGTTGATGTTGGCAGCAGCCAAAGCATGCTTCTTAATTTCCAAGAACTTGAACAATACCTTTCTGTCACTCTGGATAAGGTTGTGACTATGCATGATCAGTAAGAGCTCAAATTGGACAATAAGACTTATTTCATCAAGGAAAATATTTGTCTTCTCCATTTCTACTTCATAAAGATACTTTCTACAAGCATGTGGAGAGGAGAGATCAATATTTTTAGTATTCCATGCAAATTCATGTTGTTGAGAAGCATAGTTCTTGTCTTTCTTCATTCTCTTCATGTGATTTACAATCATGTCTCTCTTATCACCAACTTCTTCGAAGGTAATCATAGATTCTGGGGAACTGATGTTCTTCGCTTCTACGTAATCGCTCTTGGACTCAAGCCATGATCTCTTAATTATCAACAAATCTAGAGTTTTTCTTATATCTTCAAGCATTACAGAGGTAAATGAAATCAAGTAGAGAACGAATATGATAAAGAAGACCTCTACTAAGCACGATACTGAGATCCCGACTGTGACTGGGGTGATCCACACTGTGCACTGGAATGACCAGATCAGAGCTAATATCATGGACACTAATACATAAAACACTGGTTCATTTCTGAGTATTACATCATTCTTCTTCTCATTATACTTGAAAACTGGGAATATCCATGGAGAGAAGTAAATTGGCTCATCCTCGGCATGCCAAAGATCTCTTGCAAGACTTGAGAATCCGAATGCAAATATAATCAAGGTGAGGATTCCATAAGAGATGGACCATCCTACAAATGTCACAAAGTCGTCAACAGAAAGAGCTACAATAAAGATCGAGATAGCCACAAGAGAAAGGACGGAAAGGTTAAAAACGGACCATCCAAACGGCAAGAAGCCTCCTTTCTTGTAGTATATGTAAACTATGCATCCACCGTATACAATAGAAGCAACGATTCCTGAGAAGATAGATCCACTGATGGGCCCAAGGAAGATATAACAGCAAATAATCAGAATAATTCCCCAAATGAGAGTAAGTGGCATGGTAATCTGTACAAACTGGTCAAAGTACCATTTCTTGTCGTACCACTTATACAAACAAGTCGAGCAGAGAATTACGAATGGAATGAATAGAATATACCAAATCAAGAACTTATTCCCTTCATTATCTTCATCTGCATCGAAATCAAATCTAATTGCAAAATCAATAAGCCCCCAGATAATTACTAGTAGCAATGAGCCAACATATCCGATAATTTCAAATGGCTTAAGACCAGTATCGCAAGAGAATGGTCTAGTAAGGCATGAGAATGAGATAAAGAAGGCTAAGAATCCACAAGCCCACGATATACCTTCAGTACTTTCTCTGTCAGCACAGATAATACCTCCCATAATAATCACAATGAGGTAGGCTAGCATCAAGGAGAGGTATACATGGTAGTCATTGGGTCTACATTTTCCTGTAATGAAAGCAGCAAAGGCTCCATTTTTCTCTTTCCAGTTTGGAATCAGCTTAAATTTCCTGTTACCCTTAGAGGCTCCCTTGAATTTTGAGTCGTACTCAACTTCTTTATCATTGTTCACTATTATATCAACAGCTTTAGTGAACAAATTTCTTTCAACCTTGAAGCTCTTTTCAAACAGCTTCAAATCAAACTTTTGAGGTTTGGACATTCTTTTTCTCTCTTCCTCATCATCTGAGCCTCCTTCCTCGATTTCATCATCTTCTTCGTAATCATCTTCATTGAATTTCTCTTCTTCTTTTGGCTTAGGAGCTTTCTTCTCTTCCTCTTCTTCATCTCTGTCAATGCTCACAGCATTTTCGTCTCCTCTTTCATTAGCTTTCTTATATTCAAGTTTTTGGCGAGCAAGTTCTTGGATGGTCTCGTCGTTCAGGTCTTCAGCGTTAAATTTCTTTCCTGTCTTTGAGGCAAAGTCCTTCTTGAATTCAGCAATCTTGAGCTGCACTTCCTCGATACGCTGGTTATGCTTTCAAATCATCTTATTGAGCCCAGTGATGTCTTGGAAATAGTTAAAATCGTTCAGAGCGAATTTTAAGTAAGCATTTACTAAGAGTCCTACTGATAGGGGAGCAAGGAGTCCAACTATGAGGTATCTATGGTCGTCGCTGATCCAGTAAAGTAAGACAGATACAATAGATAGCAATAAATAGAGGACGAATAAGAAGAACCAGAATAGATCAATCTTCTTAAAGTGTACATAGAAGTAGACTTTGCTGTCAACTCCATTCCTCTTTCTCTTGAAGATTCTGTATACTAGAATGAAGAAGAATACGACAAAAACAAGTAGCAATGCGAACACTCCGAAGACCCAGAACTGGAATCTTTCACCATCAACTTTTCTGCTCCTAAGAGGAACACCATCAGGTTTGATAGCTTCCATAACAGACAGCAAGATTCCAAATAAGACTGTGCACAGGAGGAACAAGAACTCTGGAGTTGTGGCAATATCAAGCATGTTAACTTTTTGGTCATCGTCTTTCATATCTTCAACCTCTTGTTCAATGATTTCTTCCATGAATGGGAATCTGATAAGAGCGATGTTGTAGACCAAGTAGATTCCAAAGTAAGCGTACAAGAGACTGTATCCATAAATCCAATAACTTCCTCCTAGTACGAACAGACAAATCCTGAACAGAGTCAAATGCAGTGAGATCTCAGCTGGAGAAGTGCAAATCATTGACTGAGCGTAGAGGTAGATGATTAGGTCAGTAGCTACAACTGCTACAGCTGTAATCACCCCTAATTTAGAGTCATCTCTTACTAAGTAATCTATTAATGCGTAGACACCTAAATCATTCGTGTTAGAGTTAGAAAAATGTGAGTAAATCACTAAAATCTTGAATACTTTGGATTTGAACACTAGAAAGCGAATAGAAGAGATATGATAAACCCTTGCACATGTAGCAACAATATTTCAATCGTTGGTGGATCAATATTCAAATTAAAAAATTTCTGAAAACTTCATAATCCAAAACGAAGATCTAACAATCTTACCTATTGTGATCAAAGCAAGGAGATACAAGAAGCAGCTCACAAAAAACTTTGTTCTAGGGTTCATCTTGGTAAAAACGTTGATAAGTCCTCCCTCAATTACACCAAGATATCTTCTCTTCTTGCTTGCTCTATTGATAGTGAACATTTCAAAGATTTCGTTCTGAGTTGGTATATAATCATCGTCCTTATAAGCCTCAGTGATTTCGTCAGAGTAGGTTGTGTTACGCTTGATGTCTTTCTCCTCACCAATAGGAAGTTTCTTAATAATCTCAGCCATTGAAGTCCCGGTACGAGAGGTGTTCATGAACACAATCACTATCATTAAGATTGCATTCGCAGTGAGGAAGATTGCACTCAAGCCGAAGAAGCTGTCGTCATCCTCAAGGAACACAATAGAGATCTGGTAAGCTGTCAAGAACAATATGAATATAATCAGTGAAATTCCTGCCCATAAAGACATCCTAAATCTATTCCACTTAATTTTAAATGATCCATAAAGGAAGAATAACAAGGAGAAGCCGACCAATAAAACGGCTATTCCTCCTGTAACATTTTGCTTTGCCTCATCGTATCTAGCGACGAGTCCTGCCCCCCAAAATATAAGGGTCACAATAGGGATTGTAAAGAAGGTCCAGCAGATGCAAACGAGGAACTTGTTAATCTTCGCTATCGTATCTTCATTCTGTATCATATGCCATTTCCTTGAAGCAAGGTAATCCTGGATCCTATAGGCCTTTCCCTGCACTTTGTTCATAAACAATACTGTTAAAAGGGTGGAGACTCCAAAGAAAATTCCGAGGAGTGCACCACTAGAGTCCCATCTAACTTCTGTATGTCCCATGATGAACTTTTAATTTTATTTATGAAATAAAAATTTTAGGCAAGTTTAAATTCAAATTCAAGGTAAGATCAATTGTTAGGGGTTTTGGGGTTTTGGGGTTTTGGGGTTTTGGGGTTTTGGGG